AATACCTTAGTGAAAAAAGTTAACAAATTCGTAAGGCAGGAACGCCCCTTTGTAAAACCATGCTGAGATTCGTTGATTAATTTATGCTTTTCAAGGTGGCTACGAACTGCCTCGGCAATTATTGATTCCATAAATTTTCCCACTATGGAGGTTAGGCTTATTGGTCTATAGTTTGAAGCTAAGGACCTGTCACCTGCTTTGAAAATAGGTAACACATTTGCCATTTTCCACTTATCTGGCACCATGCCAGTTTGTAGTGATATGTTGAAAAGATTAGCCAAAGGTTTGCTAAGCTCCTCTTTACATTCCTTTAGAACCCTTGCATACAGTTCATCAGGGCCTGGGGATTTGTTAGGTTTTAATTTATCCATTTGCCTAAGGACCATGTCACTTGTGACCCTAATCGTGCACAGTTTATTACCGTCCTGTTCCACATAATTTATCATTTCTGGAATATCGCTGGTATCCTCCTGTGTAAAAACTGAGAGGAAGTATGTGTTAAAACTTCTACACATTTCCTTATCACTGTCAGTGAGCTGACCCGAGGAACTTTTGAGTGGGCCTATCTTGTCCCTGATCTTAATTCTGTATACCTGAAAGAATCCTTTTGGGTTAGTCTTCGAATCTCTTGCAACTTTAACCTCATAATCTCTTTTTGCTTTTCTAATTCCTTTTTTTATTTATCTCTTTAACTGAATATATCGATTTCTTAACTGTCCCTCTCCTCTTTTGATTTGCCTATATATGCCTCTCTTTTGACCAATTAGATATTTTAATCTATTGTTCATCCATTTAGGATCATTTTTGTTTGATCTGATTTCCCTATTTGGAACATAATTTGACTGAGCAGCTAGAACTATGCCCTGGAAAGCGTCATATCGGCATCCATCACCACCTACCTGACCCTTAGTCAGGTCATTCCAGTTCAGCCCATCTAAGTAATTTTTCAGTCCTATGAAATCAGCCAAGCGGAAGTCAGGGACAGAGACTTGATTGCCATTATTAGGGGAATTCCATGATATATTAAAACTGAGTGATTTGTGATCACTTTCCCCAAGCTCATCATTAACCTCAAGATTATTAATTAGTGTTTCCCTACTGGCAAGAACCAAGTCAAGGAGGTTATTTCCCCTAGTTGGCTCTGTCACAAACTGTTTTAAAAAACAATCCTGGATCATATCAAGAAAGTCACCTGACTCTAAATTTCCTGTCAAATTGCTCCAGTCAATCTGTCTATAGTTGAAATCTCCCATTAGCACAACATTTTCGTTTGTAGATGCCTTACGAATTTCGTCCCATAGAAGTTTACTGCACTCCCTATCAAGATTTGGGGCCCTGTAAATCACACCCAAAATTAGTTTTTCTCGGCCCTCGAGAAGCTGTAACCAAACAGATTCAGTGGCTGACGCTTCTAATTTTATATCTTGTCTAACACAACAATTTAAATTGTCTCTGACATACATCGCTACTCCACCTTTCCTGTTGACCCTGTCAGTGTGGAATAATTTATAGCCTTGTATGTGACATTCAGAGGGCATCTCTATCTTTCAGATTGAGCCAGGTCTCTGTTATAGCAATAATATCTATGTTTCCTGCACTTGCAATTAATCTTAGCTCATCTATCTTATTTCTTACACTCCAGCTATTAGTATAGTAAACCTTAAGGGAGCTAGTCCCTTGCTGCCCTCTGCTGTCCCCCTTTGTTTGCTGACCTGATCTATTGTTTTTATTTATAACTTCATGCTGAATGCCTTTTATACATTTACTGTTTCGAACCCTAGTGTTGCAACCTGCTTGTTTCTCACACACACCCATACCTCTATCTTCTATCAGTTTAAAATCATAGGCATTTCACCAATGGCCTTCTCAATCGAGTCTGCAAGTGCTACCACCCCAGCCCCAGAGAGATGTACCCCATCCCTTGCATACATATGTTTGCCATAAAAGTTGTTCCAGTTGTCAATGAATGGGATTGCAAGTTCCTTGCAGTATCTGTCTAGCCAGCAATTTACACCAATTGCCCTAGACAACCATTCATTTCCTACTCCCCTTCTAGGCAAGATGCTACATATGATTGGGATCCCTCCCTTAGACTTAATGAAATCTATAGCTGACCTGTACTTATCTAGCAGCTCTTCTCTCCTACCCTTCCCAATATCATTTCCACCAGCACTGAGACAGATAATGGGCTTGTTCCCATTACCTGACATGATATTATCCAGCCTGTTGACTATGTCCCCAACACCAGCTCCAGGGAAGCACACTCTATCTCTCATCTTCTTATTCCTATTACAAAAAGCACGGTCAATATATCTTACCTGAGAGTCACCAACCACAAGAATGCGCTTACCTCCATTTGCAGGGGCAGTAGTACCCTTACCTTCACTGGCCACTGAAGTACATTCATCCTGAAGAACAGAGAAGCGATTTCCTACCTTCAGATCTTCACTCTTAACTTTCCTTACTCTGATGCGCCTCCCATTACTGTGAACCACTCGCCACTTGTAGCAGGTGCTGGGCTGCACCTCACTGCTGGTAGCCGTTGCTACCTCCCCACCTACAGCCTCCTCACAGCGAGAGAGAGACTGCACCTCACTGCTAGAAGCCTCATTTCCCACAACTCCAGCCACCTCACACTCTCTCCCAGACCCATTGAGGTGGACCTTCAGCCTCCTAATCTCCTCCTGGAGAAGCAAGACCTCCTCCTTCAACTCTCCAACCTGTGTTGTAGTCACTAGGCCTAAGATGTCAGTAACTGTGCTGTAGAGCCACTAGGCCTAAGGTGTATGTACCTGTGTTGTAGAGCAACTAGGCCTAAGGTGTCAGTACCTGTGTTGTAGAGCCACTAGGCCTAAGGTGTCAGTACCTGTGTTGTAGTCACTAGGCCTAAGGTGTCAGTTCCTGTGTTGTAGAGCCATTAGGTCTAAGGTGTCAGTATCTGTGTAGCCACTAGGCCTAAGGTGTCAATACCTGTGCTGTAGAGCCACTAAGCCTTAGATGTCAGTACCTGTGTTGTAGTCATTAGGCCTAATGTGTCAGTACCTGTGTTGTAGAGCCACTAGGCCTAAGGTGTCAGTACCTGTGTTGTAGAACCACTAGGTCTAGTGTCAGTACCTGTGTTGTAGAACCACTAGGTGTAGTGTCAGTACCTGTGTTGCAAAACCACTAGGTCTAGTGCCAGTACCTGTGTTGTAAAACCACTAGGTCTAGTGTCAGTACCTGTGTTGTAGAACCACTAGGTCTAGTGTCAGTACCTGTGTTGTAGAACCACTAGGTCTAGTGTCAGTACCTGTGTTGTAGAACCACTAGGTCTAGTGGCAGTACCTGTGTTGTAGAACCACTAGGTCTAGTGTCAGTACCTGTGTTGTAGAACCACTAGGTCTAGTGTCAGTACCTGTGTTGTAGAACCACTAGGTCTAGTGTCAGTACCTGTGTTGTAGAACCACTAGGTCTAGTGTCAGTACCTGTGTTGTAGAACCACTAGGTCTAGTGTCAGTACCTGTGTTGTAGAACCACTAGGTCTAGTGTCAGTACCTGTGTTGTAGAACCACTAGGTCTAGTGTCAGTACCTGTGTTGTAGAACCACTAGGTCTAGTGTCAGTACCTGTGTTGTAGAACCACTAGGTCTAGTGTCAGTACCTGTGTTGTAGAACCACTAGGTCTAGTGTAAGTACCTGTGTTAACATAAGAACAAGAAAGAAGGAACACTGCAGCAGGCCTACTGGCCCATGCGAGGCAGGTCCAAGTCTCCTACCGGCTTAAGCCAATACCCCAACCTAGTCAGGGCAGGTCACATTCACTTAAGGAACACGACAACTGACCTAGTAGCACAAGCTAGTCAGGTCCAACTCACACCCACCCACACCTGTGTTGTAGAACCGCTAGGTCTACTGTCAGTACCTGTGTTGTAGAACAGCTAGGTCTAGTGTCAGTACCTGTGTTGTAGAACCTCTAGTGTCAGTACCTGTGTTGTAGAACCACTAGGTCTAGTGTCAGTACCTGTGTTGTAGAACCTCTAGTGTCAGTACCTGTGTTGTAGAACCACTAGGTCTAGTGTCAGTACCTGTGTTGCAAAACCACTATGTCTAGTGTCAGTACCTGTGTTGTAGAACCGCTAGGTCTAGTGTCAGTACCTGTGTTGTAGAACCGCTAGGTCTAGTGTCAGTACCTGTGTTGCAAAACCACTATGTCTAGTGTCAGTACCTGTGTTGCAAAACCACTATGTCTAGTGTCAGTACCTGTGTTGTAGAACCGCAAGGTCTAGTGTCAGTACCTGTGTTGTAGAACCGCTAGGTCTAGTGTCAGTACCTGTGTTGTAGAACCACTATGTCTAGTGTCAGTACCTGTTGTAGAGCCACTATGTCTAGTCAGTACCTGTGCTGTAGAACCAGTCAAGTGTATTAATACCTGTTGTAGGACCAATAGGCCTACGGTGCCAGTACCTGTGTTGTAGTCACTAGGCCTAAGATGTCAGTAACTGTGCTATAGAGCCACTAGGCCCTAAGGTGTCAGTACCTGTTGTCACTAGGCCTAACGTGTCAGTACCTGTGTTGTAGTCACTAGGCCTAAGGTGTCAGTACCTGTGTTGTAGTCACTAGGCCTAAGGTGTCAGTACCTGTGTAGTCGCTAGGTCTAAGGTGTCAGCACCTGTGCTGTAGAGCCACTAGGCCTTAGGTGTCAGTACCTGTGCTGTAGAGCCACTAGGCCTAAGATGTCAGCACTTGTGTAGTCACTAGGCCTAAGGTGTCAGTACTTGTGTTGTAGAACCACTAGGTCTAGTGTCAGTACCTGTGCTGTAGAACCAGTCAAGTGTATTAATACCTGTTGTAGAACCAATAGGCCTACGGTGTCAGTACCTGTGTTGTAGTCACTAGGCTTAAGATGTCAGTACCTGTGTTGTAGTCACTAGGCCTAAGATGTCAGTACCTGTGTTGTAGAGCCACTACGTCTATGATGTCAGTACCTGTGCTGTAGAGCTACTAGGCCTAAGATGTCAGTACCTGTGTTGTAGAGCCACTAGGCCTAGGTAGATGACGTGGGCGACATTAATAGTGTCATGGGCTGCGTCCTTGGCTACAACACAGCCAAACACCCCACAGGCCTCTCTCAGACCCTCTTCGTCAGGCCTATTATCGAGATTACCCCAGCACGCTCCCTGCAGGGGGCTGCTGGACCCCCAGCTCAGCTGTGCTGTTCTAGAGCGCCATTCTTGGTCACGGGAGGTCATTGCGTTGACAGGACTTGAAAGTTTGGTCAAGCAGGCTTGTCTTTTTCAAGTAACTAACACCGCCTCAATTTACTCGTTCAAACAGTATTCCGGCGTTCAACACCCATTTCGTATGATTCCAGTCCTCGTCAATACATAAATGTTCCTCCAGTAGTGATATAGGAACCCCTCTGTCAGCGGGTTGCGCCTCGCCTCACAGAAATTGTTGCTCACTCTTCAGACACACTCACTCTCACTGCTTGGTGAGCACACTGGACGGTCCTTCACATGCTGGCTGCACCCGGCCTGGGCTCACACCTCAACTACCACACTGACGTCGTACACTCTCTTAAAACTACCGTGTTCTTCCTCACCTGTCGTACACGACAGATTTTTTCTCTCTCTCAATGATAAAGGATGGGTATGGGGTGCATAATAAACATATTAAACTAACTCTCAATGATAATAATATCTTTATATCTACAAGTACATGTACAACGTGAGGTGAGAGTAAGACACATGTGCAACATCTGGGTATCTTTATTGTAGACGTTTCGCCATCCAGTGGCTTTATCAATGCAAATTCTAGGACATAACTTGAAGACAGTAGAACTATGTACAGAAGATGAGGTAATCAGTCCCTCAACCTAGGAGTAGGTGCGAACAGCACCATAACGTCGTGGAGATTCTGAAGCAAAAGAAAGAATCCTGGCGCTTATGTAGTAACGTCAGGTGAAGCAGACGAGGGCAAATTCACTGGTAGGCGGGATTCCCCAGTGGAAGTAGGTCCTTCCCAAAGAGATGGGTTAGTTGTAGTAGTAGTTGTCGTAGTCGTGAAGGTTATGTACATGTCCTCAGAATTAAGATTCCATGATGTTGCAGTGTCTGACAAGTTGTGTACGAATGGTATATAATACCGACAAGATGAGAGTAAGACACATGTGCAACATCTGGGTATCTTTATTGTAGACGTTTCGCTATCCAGTGGCTTTATCAATACAAATTCTAGGACATAACTTGAAGACAGTAGAACTATGTACAGAAGATGAGGTAATCAGTCCCTCAACCTAGGAGTAGGTGCGAACAGCACCATAGTCGTGGAGATTCTGAAGCAAAAGAAAGAATCCTGGCGCTTGTATAGTAACGTCAGGTGAACATAAGAACATAAGAACGAAGGAACACTGCAGAAGGCCCACTGGCCCATGCGAGGCAGGTCCAAGTCTCCTACCGGCTTAAGCCAATGCACCCAACCTAGTCAGGTCAGGTCACATTGACTTAAGGGAGGAACACGGCAACCGACCTGCTAGCACAAGCTATCAGGTCTAACTCACACCCACCCACATCTACTCATGTATTTATCCAACCTATTTTTAAAGCTACACAACGTTCTAGCCTCTATAACGGTACTTGGGAGTTTGTTCCACTCATCCACAACTCTATTACCAAACCAGTACTTTCCTATATCCTTCCTGAATCTGAATTTTTCCAACTTAAAACCATTGCTGCGAGTCCTGTCTAGGCTAGATATTTTCAGCACACTATTTACATCCCCTTTATTTATTCCTGTCTTCCATTTATACACCTCAATCATATCCCCCCTAATTCTACGTCTTTCTAGAGAGTGCAGTTTCAGGGCCCTTAGTCTATCCTCATAGGGAAGGTTTCTGATACATGGGATCAACTTTGTCATCCTCCTTTGTACATTTTCCAGAGAATTTATATCCAGAGAGCAAATTCACTGGTAGGCGGGATTCCCCAGTGGAAGTAGGTCCTTCCCAAAGAGATGGGTTAGTTGTAGTAGTAGTTGTCGTAGTCGTGAAGGTTATGTACATGTCCTCAGAATTAAGATTCCATGATGTTGCAGTGTCTGACAAGTTGTGTACGAATGGTATATAATACCGACAAGATGAGAGTAAGACACATGTGCAACATCTGGGTATCTTTATTGTAGACGTTTCGCCATCCAGTGGCTTTATCAATACAAATTCTAGGACATAACTTGAAGACAGTAGAACTATGTACAGAAGATGAGGTAATCAGTCCCTCAACCTAGGAGTAGGTGCGAACAGCACCATAGTCGTGGAGATACTGAAGCAAAAGAAAGAATCCTGGCGCTTATATAGTAACGTCAGGTGAAGCAGACGAGGGCAAATTCACTGGTAGGCGGGATTCCCCAGTGGAAGTAGGTCCTTCCCAAAGAGATGGGTTAGTTGTAGTAGTAGTTGTCGTAGTCGTGAAGGTTATGTACATGTCCTCAGAATTAAGATTCCATGATGTTGCATGGTGCTGTTCGCACCTACTCCTAGGTTGAGGGACTGATTACCTCATCTTCTGTACATAGTTCTACTGTCTTCAAGTTATGTCCTAGATTTTGTATTGATAAAACCACTGGATGGCGAAACGTCTACAATAAAGACACCCAGGTGTTGCACATGTGTCTTACTCTCATCTTGTCGGTATTATATTCCATTCGTACACAACTTGTCAGACACTGCAACATCATGGAATCTTAATTCTGAGGACATGTACATAACCTTCACGACTACGACAACTACTACTACAACTAACCCATCTCTTTGGGAAGGACCTACTTCCACTGGGGAATCCCGCCTACCAGTGAATTTGCCCTCGTCTGCTTCACCTGACGTTACTATATAAGCGCCAGGATTCTTTCTTTTGCTTCAGAATCTCCACGACTATGGTGCTGTTCGCACCTACTCCTAGGTTGAGGGACTGATTACCTCATCTTCTGTACATAGTTCTACTGTCTTCAAGTTATGTCCTAGAATTTGTATTGATAAAGCCACTGGATGGCGAAACGTCTACAATAAAGATACCCAGATGTTGCACATGTGTCTTACTCTCATCTTGTCGGTATTATATACCATTCGTACACAACTTGTCAGACACTGCAACATCATGGAATCTTAATTCTGAGGACATGTACATAACCTTCACGACTACGACAACTACTACTACAACTAACCCATCTCTTTGGGAAGGACCTACTTCCACTGGGGAATCCCGCCTACCAGTGAATTTGCCCTCGTCTGCTTCACCTGACGTTACTATATAAGCGCCAGGATTCTTTCTTTTGCTTCAGAATCTCCACGACTATGGTGCTGTTCGCACCTACTCCTAGGTTGAGGGACTGATTACCTCATCTTCTGTACATAGTTCTACTGTCTTCAAGTTATGTCCTAGAATTTGTATTGATAAAGCCACTGGATGGCGAAACGTCTACAATAAAGATACCCAGATGTTGCACATGTGTCTTACTCTCATCTTGTCGGTATTATATACCATTCGTACACAACTTGTCAGACACTGCAACATCATGGAATCTTAATTCTGAGGACATGTACATAACCTTCACGACTACGACAACTACTACTACAACTAACCCATCTCTTTGGGAAGGACCTACTTCCACTGGGGAATCCCGCCTACCAGTGAATTTGCCCTCGTCTGCTTCACCTGACGTTACTATATAAGCGCCAGGATTCTTTCTTTTGCTCCAGAATCTCCACGACTATGGTGCTGTTCGCACCTACTCCTAGGTTGAGGGACTGATTACCTCATCTTCTGTACATAGTTCTACTGTCTTCAAGTTATGTCCTAGAATTTGTATTGATAAAGCCACTGGATGGCGAAACGTCTACAATAAAGATACCCAGATGTTGCACATGTGTCTTACTCTCATCTTGTCGGTATTATATACCATTCGTACACAACATGTACAACGTATACAGGCCTAGCTGACACCAATGACATACTACTATATATTATTATTATAATCAAAAAGAAGCGCTAAGCCACAAGGGCTATACAGCGACTACTATATAGAAAGCTCCTTGTTATGCAGGGCATTTCGGGCAAATTAGGTCAGTTTTGTCCCCAGGATGCGACCTACACCAGTCCACTAAAAGTTTAAAGATTTCATTTCTTTGCAAGGTTACAATGTGCATTTACAATTTTGTTTAATTAAGTACAAAGAAAGCCACTATCATGCCGGGGCATTTTACTGCTAAGGGACAGCAGGTGTAAGGAAACACGCCTCTTTTGGTCTTAGTATCTTGACTGGAATAGAAGTGTGTGAGATCATTTTTATTTGTAGGTTTCCGGTAAACTTGAAATCTTAGGTTATCTACTTTGTGAATGAGGACGTCTAGAAAAGGTAGCTTGTCACTGGACTCTTCTTCTAGTGTAAACTGGATCACCGGTTCAACTGCGTTGAGCCTTGCCTGAAGATTCCGTACATCAAAGCGTTTGGGAATTATTACGAGGACGTCGTCCACGTAACGTAACCAAGTGACGCTTGAAGGGATGATGTTGGCGAAGTGTTCAGCCTCTAGGAGGTGTTCCATGTACAAGTTAGCTAAGACGGTACTGATGGGGGACCCCATTCCCATGCCGTAGGTTTGTTTGTAGAGCCTGTTGTTGAAAGAAAAACAGTTGAAATTAACACAGAGTTCAATCAGGTCAACAAAATCTCCTGGAGACTGAAGACCTTTAAATTACATTCACTTATAAGACGAAGAATGAGGGGAGACATGACCGAAGTGTACAAGTGGAAGATGTTTAAATCTGGTCACAATCGTAATGCAGACATGAATTAGGTTACACACACAAAAAAATGGTAATACTTTCTTTATAATGAGCAAATTATTATTATAATAAAAAAGAAGCGCTAAACCTACAAGGGTCATACAGCTCCGTCGGGCAGGGAAGCGAACCCACGCCCGGAATATAATGAGCAAAGTCAGTGTGACTTTGTCAATGGTCCAAGTCGGACCGAAACGTCGTCGCAAGCTTCTCTCTTTTATGTGCGGGTTATTTGTGTAAAGTCAGGGTATTTTTCCAGAATGGTATGTAGTATACCACTGTGTAAAATACTTCGACATTTCTTGAACATTTGTGAGCGAGTCGTATCTAAATTCATTAATTTTATATCATGCATGTACAGTACTATCACTCTCCTCACATTAAGTATGTTGTTTGTGTCAACAAGTATCACCACTCTCTTGCACTGTGTGTTAACACAGTTTGTTTGCAAGTACTCATGTTGCAAACGTTGCAGCTGCATCTGAGCTGAGGGAACAGTTCTCTCTGCCTCCTCAGCAGAAGTAACTGAACGGGTTGCCAGCCAAGACCAGCAGCTTGATGAAGTGAGCAGAACTTGGTGCCCAGGGGAAAAAAGGAATTTGATACCTCCAGCAATCCTAGCTCTTCAGTTATGTAGCTGTTCAATTTTGTTTTTAATAGTCAAAAAAATAACTGTCTCTAGTACGTACACGAACAAGAACTCTA